TTTGTCTTTGTGTTAAAGTGGGGACTACCTGCTAAATGTAGACACTTGTTTTTGTCTTTGTGTTAAAGTGGGGACTACCTGCTAAATGTAGACACTTGTTTTTGTCTTTGTGTTAAAGTGGGGACTACCTGCTAAATGTACACTTGTTTTTGTCTTTGTGTTAAAGTGGGGACTACCTGCTAAATGTAGACACTTGTTTTTGTCTTTGTGTTAAAGTGGGGACTACCTTCTAAAGGTGGACACTTGTTTTTGTCTTTGTGTTAAAGTGGGGACTACCTGCTAAATGTAGACACTTGTTTTTGTGTCTTTGTGCTAAAGGGTGGACGAACCTCCAAAAGAGTTTGACGCTGAAGCCGAGATGAAGACCCTTGAGGTTTCTCTGATGCAGCTTCAGGCAGAAAACAGAGGTACAACTCAACTCACAATGAGTTTGCTTTCACACGACCCTCATTTTGTACGTTGGATACTAAGAATGAATTGTTGTTTTTGTAGGCATCCTAGAGAGACTGAACAGCACAGAGAGCGAGCTGAAGACCATGAGAGGTCAGTAACTCCTTAAAGTAATTATGTTAATGTGATTTAAAGAAAAGTTGTTGACAGAAAACGAAATGACTGCTATAATTGTTAGGGTTATATAGCAGCAAGAAATGTTAACTGGGTGGTAACTTTTGTGGAGGATCGCCCTCTTGTGGATATTATGAGCTATTACACAATGATGATGAAACTACTTTTTAAATCTTTGTAATCTTTGTAAGTATCATCATTTAAATGGGCGAGATATCAACCCAACTCCAATTCAAATAGTTTTATTTGATCAAAAGGAACCCCAAACCTCATACAAAATAATGTTTTTAATTAGTTTTAGTGTTTTTTGTCCATATTTTATTATATCTAACAGTTGAATGAGTGTTTTAATGTAATTTTTGCATCTCAAAGTTTACATTTAAAAAGTCAACATCAACGTATTTGTTACTTTGAAAAAGCCACAAAATATTCTGCACTTTCTGTGGAGATTGAAACTATGAAAATATCATAAAATGTGAGAAATACTAAAAATATTTCCCTGTACAGAAAGTTATTTTTATTTTTCAAGTATTATCGTTGTTCTTACTATAAAATAAATGCTTTTGAATGTAGGGGAATAAACAAGAAGACACTGTAGTTGGTCACAGTTTTAAATAAAAAATAAACGTACATTTGAAACTTATGTGATTACATTGTTTTAAACGTATACATAACATATTATAACTGCTGCTTACTTTAAAAGTGTGCGTAGAGAACATTTGCAATAATTTGATATCTTTATTTTGTTTGTGTATTTATTGTGGTTTTTCTCCAGATGTTCCGAAGGTGGCGTTTTCCGTCTCTCTCGGAGGTAACGGCCTCGTGAAGGCGACGTCAG